GAAGTATAAAGCAAGTTTAGGCCTAGAACTCTATTAAAAGGGCAATTCTTTTTATTTCTTTTCCCTCAATTCCAAAATCTCTGTTTATAACAGATTTTTTTTTAAAATCTATGAACAATTTCGTTTAAGAACAAAATAATGCATTGACTTCGCTGGACATTTATATATTGATAATACATAAATAAATGGGATATTTTTTCGAAGCATAAAAATGCAATTGAATGAACATTTCAATTATCAAAACCACTACTTTTAACTTTTTGTTTGCGCTACTTTGGATTCCTTCATTTTTTTGGATGGTGGAAAAATGATACTTTCACAGAAACTCGTTTTCGTGTTTTTTACTACATGTACGATAAGCTTTGATACAAATTAGAAATTTTTTATTCATTCAGTATCTAAATTAGTGGTTCACCTGTACTCATAAATTTAGCTAAAATTTGTAATCAATGAATACATTTTTGTAATAATGAACCCAGACTTTACCTACCAAAATTTAGATTATTCTTTACAGTGGTCAAAATTTGGCTATAATAAATACATGCTTTAAGCCTCCGGGTGCGGGATTTTCTCGCTGTGTTGAAGACCTATTGGTGGCCTTAGGCTGTTTTCTGCTCTTTGGTCAGGTTGTCGTCTCTTTGACACATTCCCCATTTCCCTTCTCAATTTTATTTAAATTCTGAATTTACAGTATTAAAAGTTATATAAAAATTTTCAATCACTGACTGCTTAAAAACATAATGTTAGATAAATACTATGTACTCATCAACCATTTTCTTCTTATTGTATTCTCATTTGATCGACTGATGGTGATTTATCGCATCTTAGGGACTTAAAGTACATTATTGCAATACAATTTTCCTAAATAACATATTCCTGTTTGTATTTTTGTGTGGAAGCTGTTTTAAAGGGGCAAAGCTGTCAAATTCATGTTCACCAATTAGACTCAAATATTCATATTTGATTTATAACATACTAAAACGTATATCCAAATTACAAAAAGACTAAAATGTACTAAAATAAACAATTAACAATGCATGGACTCGATGATATGTATCAACATTTCGTGTGTATTTTTGTCTAGACATCATTTAATTAACCATTGAGATGTGAGATGTCTGAAGACTGCCGACAGTTTATATAACCCGATATAAACATAAATATAAATATATATAGATAGAGACCATGTGCAATTGGATTTTTCTAGGTCTGTTTGATTTCATACTGAAGGTTAAAAAGTATGTTTATCATTGTTTTTACCACATATAAGAATTATTTTTTTGTGGATTGAATCAGTCAACCAAATAGTACATCCTTGTTTCACTTTCAATGTTGACATTCTTTTTCTTTTAATAGCTGGATACATACGTAAGTAACGTAACCCATGTCCAGCTAAGGCGTTAAATTGAAGGTCACATGAATACAGATTCAATGAGGTCGAATTATTCGCTTAGCTAATTTCAACAAAATTGAACCAAACTGGCTGCTAAAAGAGAATGATTATTTCACTATTTCACTTTCATTAATGATTGAACAAAAAAAATCATATTCTATTTTTTTTATATCTCGTAGCTAATGCCCCTTTATATATAAGGGCTTATATATGGAAAAAAGAACAGATCTTGAGATCTTAATATTGAAAATTTTTATGAACACTTTGATCCAGGTGAGCTCAACACTTTAAAAATAAATAAATTTTCAACATTAATCAACAAAACCTTGAATATGAAATCCAATATACATTAGCTTTGTATTGCAAATGTTGATTTTTATCTATGAAAATGAGGAAAATATCTTTATAATTGAAGAAAATCACAGGAAATAACCAAAACTCATTATTCTTAAGCGTCTCGCACGGAGTTCAACAAACCAAACTTTACAGAACTCTATCTACATTATAATTATAGATGCAAAATCAAAGAAATAATCTTTTCACATCGATGATGAAAAAACGTAACAAAAAACATGAATACCTGACTTCATCCCTCCGTTCTGGTATAATAGTGATGTGTACAACAGATAAATAAATATGATTTACGATTTTTTCCTATCTCTTTTCACTTTATCTGATGTAAATATTCCCATGTAATTAGACCGAGGTGACAAGATACTCTCTCTGATGTCTGACAATCCTATTTGTTATATTCCTTTGCTTTGTACAAACATATTCGTATATATGTTCATGATGAAGTATATAAAGGTAGCAATCTTATGAAGTCATCACTTTCATATACTATTTGCTTTTAAAAATTTCTATCTTATGAAGTCATCACTTTCATATACTATTTGCTTTTAAAAATTTCTATCTACATTTGTATCTATTACAGTTTTCAAGATAATTGGCAAAAACTCCAAAAAATGGTAAAAACATCTTTAAAGGGAAATAACTCAAATAACAAGTTGACTTAATATTTCATCCATGATGGCTTATTTGTTGATCTTGTCTTGCTGATAATTTTTGCTATATAAAGCTTCTATCTATCTATTATAGTTTTCAAAATAATAGGCAAAAATGCTAAAAGATGGGAAAAGTTGTTATCAAAGGGCAATTACTCTAATAAGGAGTCACCAGACGATTTTGGTCATGTTTGACTTATTTGTAGATCTTGACTTGCTGATCATTTTGGCTTTTTAAAGTTTCCTTCTATCTATTATAATTGTTAAGATATAAGACAAAAACACAAAAAAAGGTAAAAATCGTCATTAAAGAGCAATAAATAGTCGTCTGACAATTTTTGACGTAAACAGACAGCAGGTAGATCTCAACATTTTGAACATTTCTGCTCCTGTTAGATTTTCTCTATTCATAGCAGTTTTCAAAATAATAGACAAATCTTGCACTTTACCCCTATGTTCTATTTTTAGCCATGTTGGCCATGTTGGTTGGCAGGCGGGGTCATCAGACACATTTTTCAAACCAGACACCCCAATAATAGATGTGGCCAAATTTGGTTAATTTGGCCAGGGAGTTTCAGAGGAGAAGATTTTTGTAAAAGTTAATGAAGACGACAGATGCCAAGTGATAAGAAAAACTCACTTGGCCTTTCGGCAAGGTGAGTTTAAAAAGGGTGCTAAAAATCTTTTAAGCACAACTTGTTTCCCTTTGCCAGTTGCAGACTGGTTCTAAACCAAGCAAAACTGAATTGCTGTACATGCAAAGCATTATAAGTTAAAAGTGATATATCTAGGCGTTTTCATCAATTTGTATTGATTACAATCAAGCCATGAACCATTATTTCCACAAAAGATACTGGACCTTAATAGACATTTTAAAAAATTTTCATCAAACATAAGTTTTAGTAGATATCCCAAGTATTATTGCAGTTAACTTTGGATAGAATTTTTAGCTCACCTGGTCCAAAGAACTAACAAATACTCTTACATGTAGTTTCATATAAGAGTGTTTATGATTGATTGATTGTTGGTTGCTTAACGTCCAGTGGAAGAGTGTTTATGAAAAACAGATAGCAAGATGGACACAAAGTGATGGTAACTGCAATTATTTCTTTAGACGAGGTGAGCTAAAAAATGCCTCAACATATTAAAACATCTAGTAAATATTGTTGCCAGAATTTTTTCAACATACATTCATTTTTAAGAGCCATCCATTGATTTGGATTATTTATTGCAAAGTCTGTTAAAACAATCTGTTTTTTAATGAAAATGGTCGAGATTTTCCACTCGGTAAAACACTTTTCATGTCAGACAGATTCTTTGTATTTCAGGAACATAAGGATGTTACAGAATGCACATCTTCTTAATTAACTACATTACCTAGTTTATAATCATTTCCATCTTCTGAAGGTATGGTTAACTGTTATTTCGTATTACTTTAATTATAAAGATCTACTGGAGATCGCACCTTTACTAACAAGCTTCAAAATATTCAGTAATGTTAGAAATTTAGAATCAGTCAGAACTTAATATACTTATCAAATACTAAAAGTAACTCTATGGAACATCTTTGTGAAGCCTGTCAAATGAGTTGTATTTCTATAATCCCAACACCTCTATGTTTTTAATGATACCATGGATACATTTATTTCATAGGTACCAATATTCATGGATCGGTAGGGGCGGATTCAGGCGGGGGGTGGCAGGCGTGCCCCCCCCCCCCCCCCCCCCCCCCCAAATTTGCAAAGCATGGGTTGTCCTCAGCTTAATAAAGAATATTTCGATAATTTTACCTCAAAAAAATTGCCGATCATTTAAGTTTGCGCCCCCCAATCCTAAAATCCTGGATCAGCCCCTGGTATTAACTTAGAGTTCGGAGTTTTCGTCTTTTCCTAAATTCAAGTCTTTAGTTAATTTGGGTTAAGCTATATTTGTGTACCTATTCACACAAAAATTAGTAACTAATAAATATAAATGACTTAAATGCATGGTAGTTTTGCTAAATACTTCCTGTTTGATTTGATTTGTTTTGTATTATATTTTTCTTTCACTTTCATAAGCCATCAACCTCCAAAGGTGATAAAAGTGCATTTGAAATAAAGTTAATATCTCTACAATTTGCCCATAAACAATAACTGTCAACAATGTCCTTTTCTAGTACCATACATTATGAAACAAATATGCATTTTTTTTTTACAATGTATACTTCTTTCATCATCCTTTTCAACTCTGCATTGACTTCACTCCCTTATCTTCATCCCCATAATAAACATGATAAAAAAAACTAAAGATCAGTTTTCATCATACTCCAAATTTTCAAGTAATTCTTAGAAAAAACTACCCTTTTTTCTTTATAAGCCTGAAGTTTTAAGAATAGCTGTTAAAATTCATCCTTTACTTTTAAAATAATTTAATTTTCCACAATTCTCACGATTTGTCATTTTTACGTCAGGTTTGAAATCTATTTTAACTCTTAAGGCCATTTTTATTCCTTAACTGATCATCATATCAATGAAAAATATCATAAAAAGATCACAGACTTACATAAAAATACCATTTAGGTTTCATGCAATTTTTGTACTTGGCTATATATAGTGATGTCTTACTTGAATTATATTACTGGTTCCATCTGTCTGGTCACAAGATACTTTGCCATCACTAGCTACCATTTCTGTACTCTGCTCCCCTGTCCCACCATTGTCATGTTGGAGTGATCTACCATGTTCTGTTTTAATACAGTCTCTGACTTGTACTTTTTCTTTCTCCACATCCTCTGTTCCTTTACTCTCTTTTTCAATCTTGACAGTTCTTTCTCCATCAAATACTATTCTCTGCTCTTTTTCAATTTGATTCTTTTCTTCTATTTGGTTTTTAAATTTATTGTCCTGTTCACCTATTTGAATTTTAAAATTGTTGTCCTGTTCCCCAATTTGGGTTCTAAATCTATTGTTCTGGTCCCCTAATTGGTTTCTTAATCTACTGTCCTCTTCCTCTCTTTGGTTTCTATATCTGTTTTGTTCCCCAATTTGGTTTCTTAATCTATTGGCCTGTTCCCCAGTTTGGTTTCTAAATCTGTTCTCCTGTTCCCCAATTTGGGTTCTAAATCTATTGCCTTGTTCCCCTATGTGGTTTTTTGATCTGTTCTCATGTTCCTCTATTTGTTTTCTAAATCTACTGTCCTGGTCCCCTATTTGGTTTCTAAATTTGTTCTCCTGTATCCCTGTTTGTTTTCTAAATCTACTGTCCTGGTCCCATATTTGGTTTCTGAATCTATTGTCCTGGTCCACTAATTTTGTTCTAGATCTGCTATTCCATTCCCCTGTTTGCGGTTTTAAACTATTACCCTGTTCCCCAAATTGGGTCTTAAATCTGTTAAGTTCACCTGGTCTGACAATAGTTCTTCCATTATTTCTCACCACATTCCCCCTCAATGCATGATCTAGACCACTGCCTCCTTGTTGTATTTTCAGACATGGTATACCACTAGCCTTTGGTCTTGCAGAAGGTTTCATTTTATAACTTCCATTTTATCGGTATTTCTATAAAAAAAAAGAACAGTAAATTTTAAGTATTCATAAAAATATTATAAATATAGTCATTCAATTATTGAAACACCCAGAGTCATGCTGCATACCCCACATTGACTTTTGATTATATAAATCATACATATAGCCCACAATGTATTTTGATACCGTAAATTAGGACATTTTGGCTTTCATAGTATTTTGGTTTTATTTGGCACCTAACATAAAAGTGCCAAAATAAAACACACAAAAAATAAAATTTCACAAAAAATGAAAATTATGAAAGATTTCATACATCACAAGTTAAACATTGTGATCAATAATCATGCATAAACATAATAGTTGAACATTTTGTAACAGTTTAACAATTATCTTTCTTAATACATTTTGTAATTGTAAATCAACATGTTATTGTAACACTTGAATTAATGAAATGTAAACTTTAACTGATATATCCATTGATATGATCTATTAATTAATTAATAATATTTATTACATTATGATCTATTAATTAATTCTTTCTAGTTATTTTCACAATGATGATTGTCATTCAATTTATCATGCTTGTTCTATCCTGGGACATAATATATTGACATTAGTAATCCTCTTCCCAGTTCTATCTAAGATTATACGTTTAATAAAATTAACAAATTTGATATGTCAAACTTTGGATTAAATAGTCTACCATAGCTTATTACGCAATGAATTCTGTTATGCCAAAATAAAAATACAGTAGACATATTTATTTAAAGCTCCAAAATTTGACACCAAAATTTTAGCACTAACAAGCCAAAACATCCCTGCACTAAAAAAATCCAATTTACAGCATCCTAATTTCTGACACGTTAGAATTGCTCAAAATGAGCAGTGAAGTAAAGTCCATGGGTAAACTAGAAGCTTTCAACAACTGCTTACCCTGACAACAAAAAGTTGTCAGTTTGCTGCTGTCCTAAAGCTTGTTGATTCTATCTGCAGTAATATTTGTTCCACAAAAGAATAAAGATATGACTTTCCAAACACTTCTTTAAGAAATTATGTTGTTGGTTTGTTTTCTCATAGAAATATAAATCAGCAAAATTCTCTTTGATATGTATAATATCTCTTTTGAGGCTTCTCTGCTTACAATTGAAAAATCATCATGTAGTTAAGGAGCATTCTCAACAAAGAGGAGTTGCGCTAAAGTATTACAAAATCATGTGATTTTTACTTTGTGTGAAAATAATTTAAAAGGTATGTTTGAAATAACTATGTTTGATAGCGTGTCAAGAGTACCTTTGATAATATCTGTTTGATAGTGTGTCAAGTGGACCTTTGATAATATCTGTTTGATAGTGTGTCAAGTGGACCTTTGATAATATCTGTTTATATATATTCAAATTTCTTTTAGCTGGGACATTTAAGAGCTGACAATGTTGTAGACTGTTGTAGACAAATAAGGTAATGAATGCCCTTTACAGTCAGGCGTCAATCGGTCATTTTTGACGTCAAATTGGTTAAAATTTTACCGTGATTCATCAGAGGTCTCAAATAATTGTCGTTACCGGTATTTTTATCGTCTTGAAGAAAGTCTTCATTTTATTGTCATGTACCAAAAATTACCGTTAACATCATTTGGCAAGATTTTTTACCGTTATTCATCATGAAGGTACCCCCATTACCACCCTCACAAATATCTACTGTTGTAAACATTATTTTTGACCCCTTGATGTTTTGTTTTTTTCTATTTGAGTCATTGAGTTGCTGACGAAACTTGTGTAAAAAATTCTGTATCCTTGGTTGTTGTTTCATTGTATCGTCTCCTTTCATACCCAACTAATACAATACACCTTATCGCTATTTATGCCAATCGGGATGAGTTCTAAAATTACACAACTTTTTCAAACCAGTTAAAGCTATCTGGGGCCTTGTTCAAACAATATATTGTGCATAAAACTTTTCATAGAGACATGTTTAAACCATCGTAAACACATCAAACAAAGCATTTTTAATGACTTTAATTTGTCTTTTAAGAATTGCTTTATAAACTTTCAAAATTTGAAAATGTTCACTTTCCAAACTTTTTTCTCCCTCAGCTCATTGCTTATGACCTTCGTTAGTGTGATATTTGACCCAAACAAGAAGTTGCCTAAATGACTGTTTTTTTTCTGGAAAGGACTAAATAGTGATAAGGTGTATTTCAGAAACAACTGCTGACCAAATTAACTCACCAAATGTGAACAAAAATCAAGTTCATATAGTTTTTTTTTCATGATCAAACTACAATACATAAGTTGATATTTTTTCCATGTCACTGTTCACGTATGACCCGATGAGGCATTATTTCTATCCATTTAATGTTTGATTGCAAGCTATTTTCAACAACATTAAAAAAAATAATATAGAAGAAATCACAAGTTTGTAAATGTAGGCCAGTATCTGCAATATAAATGATTTTTGAAAAAAAAGATCCAATAAGAAACTATCTTGACAACCCTGGCCAGGAACTATACTGCCTAAAGAAAGCTTTCATCTCCCACTGGCACATTTTTCAACAATTATGAATATAGTTCCTGTCATGCCTTCAAACTTTTCCAGGTGCACAGATTTGTGCTCTTTGTTGTTTAAATGTGGCCATATTTTTCAATTCCTTCTGACTAACCTTAACATATTTAAAGATCATCAACTATAATCAAGTGTATATATACTATATGACATCGTGATATGGGAACCACTGCACCACATCAGTTCTGCCAACTTTTAATAATGCAAATGCGTGAGATTTGGACAAAATAGTAAAGATCAAAAAGAAAAAAACAATAGATCAAAGGAAAATGCCGCCAAATAAGCATGAAAATGCGTGAGTCTGAGACTTGGCAGCCCTGCCACATGATGGGAACACTATCTCATTTGTGAGGATATCCTCTAGAACCTTCAGATCCTGTTTGTAAAAATTACAATTACTTTGACTATGAATCAACAGTACAATACTTTTTGTGGAATTCCAATAAGAATCCTTTTATCAAAGGAACCAAAGTAGTTTTAGGTGGACTTCTCTCTTGACGGCATTTCCCGGGGTTTTGATTCGGAAAGCCTCGGGTCTTTTCGAGCACATGTCACGTGTCAGTCGAATACACCCTCATTCTCCTGAAACATTTCTAACTCTAGTTGAAATGAAAGCCATAAGAAAGGTCGAATTCGGTCCCAAGTTAAAAATAAAAGAAAACACTTTTTTTTCACGGGAGAAACACGTTTTCATCTTGAATATAAAAAATAAAAAAAAACTTTTACTATTTTTTCAATAACATACAGAAACAAAATTTTGTTATGTTTATTAAAACATGTTGTTTTTATTTTATTTTATCTTATTTATTTTTTAAATTTACTACTTTTCATATAAACAAAACTACATACGTAGTGCAAGTGACATAAACTTCAGCAATTGAAGCCGGGTGTTTCACTTCTCCCGCACTTCTGGTCAAAACATTTTTTTCCAAGAATTGAAATCCATGGAAGATTTAGATTTTTAAGACCAAGGCCCCCCTCAAAACAACGAATGGCCGGTGCCTCGTGTCGGAATTTACTGTGGTCCATATAGTTTCGACTAAATTGATAGTTAACTGGTACATAACTCAGAAATAAAGACCAGATATGGGACCTGAGACTACTATAACACATATATGTTATAGTAGCCTCAGATAGGGAGGACCAACATGTGTAAAAAAAGGTTACTATCAATATGTACCCGGTAAAGTAATACGCGTGACAGACAGACTAGAAACATTAAGAATTTACAGTTGCACATGAATTGCATGTTTGTCCTGCGGTTATAACCTTGTGTTAAACCAAGTTGCGAGATGACGGTTGTCTTGCATGATGGATGTGTAGAATAAATTGGAGATAAAAGAATGGGACACCTTATAGGGCAATTTGTCAAATGATAGCTTAGGATCTACAGAATATGAACGCTTCCAACAGAATTGGTACAAACCCTTCAGTATAGAAATAACACTTATAAATAAAACCTGATCCAAATTGAAAAACCGAGATTTAAAAACGAAACAGTTAAACACACATGAAAGAGGTCACTTCATGGAGGACGTCAAACGTCATATTGGTCGTCGAAAGAAACGTAGACAAAGCATCAAAGACGTTACTTTTCAATCAAAACATTGTATTTCTTCAGATTAACTTGTAGCATTTAAAAAACTACAGTGATACTAGTGTTAAAAGTATAAGTGTTTTTTTTAGTGTACGTCATTTTGCCGTCAAGTGCTTGAACATCAAAAGATTTTCGAGTATCAGGAAAATGAGGAAGTCGTGTTTAAAAAAACAAGGCTCATAAAATGCAATACATAACCTTTCTACGAACTTAACAGTTGTGTATTATAGTAAAACAGACACGGAATATATTGCATTTTTATTTTTATATTTTTACCTGCTGCCAAACATTATTAAAGTCATTACAAAGAGGGTCTCGGTAGGGAAGAGGAGATGCGCTAACCAAGCCAGGTTGTGAGAAAAAATATTGGATATTCTTTTTATCTTTAATCACATTTCTGATAAATAATCAAGGTAAATCGATCTATATCCAATCTAATTAAAATACAGATCCTGCATGTGTCTAAGCTTTCGCGTAATACATGATCATACATTGTAATGTTGTTGTTTTTTTAACTGACGGATCAAGAGAAACGTCTTTGCAGTACACTATGCTTGGTCCCAATCCCAAGGAAACTGCGATGTCGGTTCCGGCCATACAAAAGTTAACGGGAAAATGTAGCAAACAGAATAAACTCCATCCAGATTGATGCACGCTGTAATGAAGTGCAAGCCCTTTTACAGTGATATGCAAACACATTAGAGTTATCCCGCTTATGTCTGTATTACATTAATTTACAAGTACGATGGCTCCTGCAAATAGATTTTTTTTAATACGAAAAAAAAGTATTTTTGGTCCATTAGAGTAGATTCTTCAAAGGTATCTAATGAGTGAGCTCGACCTGATACATTTTCATCTTTCAAATGTTCAACCTGTT